AAAATGAACAGAGCTGAAAGGGATAGCTCAGCGGGTCTCTAAAAATCCTCCCTCTTACAATAGTTCTCATCCTTCATGGATATTGGACTCTGTAGATAACATACTCAACGTACTGATATGACTTGAATTATAAGGGAGGCACCTTTTCCACACTTCAGGGAATATTATAATAGGAGGGGTGTGGATCAGAGCAGATTTCTCAGAAACATGGAGTTGCAACGTCCTCGCAGTATCACTCTTGCATCTTGCCATTTGAAACTGCTGCTTCTCAAGAAACACAAACTAACAACACAGGAAGCCCACAGCTAGAATGCGGGGCTTAATGAATAACAAGGTACTGTACTTCTCACACTTTCACACACACAAATAATGAAAACCTGAACTTGACAGCAAGAAACATAGAACGTGGTAAGGTCACTTAGGTGTTTCTTGCAAAAAGTACAACAGTGAGCTGTGCCGTGGTTGCGTTGCATTGTAATATTTATATAAATTACCGTAAGTCTGTTGTATAAGCTATGACTCTCAAACATAACAAATGGGAAGATAATTTTGTTTCATTCTGAAACATTTAGTATGACAAACATACATATTTAAACAGCAAGTTACAGTCAGGGTCAGTGTGGAGTTTTAAATTCCACTGGCCTTGATCTGGTTAGGGTGTAGATATCATCAGCGTGCGACAAGATCCTAAGACTGTGTCTATTTCCACTGTTTGTCCTCAAGAACATCCTGACTCTAGCTGTCCTCGATCTCACCTGAGTTAACTCACAAAACAACAAACACATTAAACTCAACTCAGAGGATACAGACGGAGCGCCTGATGTATCTGGTGTAGAAAGAAAGGAGAAGTGAAACATTTTGATCACAAAAAATAGGAAAGAGACGTATGACAGCCTAATTTCTGCTCGGTGACCTACATTGAACAAAATGGATTTTGGGGGCATGTGTCCTCTGCAGTTCAGAGAGAGTGAGATGGGTAGTACAAGATGTTCTTGTTGCATGTGTCTAATTATATGTGATGCATATCTAACACCATTAGCTTGGTAAATTCTTGCATAAATGCCTATTTGTGTGAGGTTTACTTCGCAGGTCTCTGTGTTTAGGTTTAGCTCGGCTTTTCCCAGGCCTGTGGTCGATCCATGCTAAGTCAGTGGTGGCCTTTCATGGCTCTAACAAGCTTTACTGGATCAGAGGCTGTTACACACACCAACCTGTGGCCCCGGTTTGGGACATAGGTAGAGTAGGTTTTCTCTGAAGTATGTGTGTGTGTGCAAGGAGCTGAAGGGCAGGGGACAAGTCCATACAAACCCTTTGTTTGTCATTTTAACTGATAAAGTATAATCACAGGGGGGTGCACACCACCCTCCTCCCCAAATTACAAACACACACACACACAAAACGTCCCTAATTAGGCTGCACAGACTCCACTGTTGCAGTGCGTGTCACTTCTTGCTTCAGTGGCTCAGCACATCGAAATGTTTGGCTATGTTAATTGAGGGAAATTAGCCTGATCCTTCAGCTCATGATCTTTAATTTGTTGCATGATTAGTCACACTAAAAGTCAGACATTTGAAGATGACACTGATCGTACGGGCAATGCTGATTTGTTTAGTAACTGAAAGCCAGGGATGAAGCATTGCTTTGCTATGTGTGTGGTAACATTAGATCATATCTTGCAGTGGCAAATCCGTGGTCTGTCTTTAGTGCCGGGAAGGCGCACAGCTGATCATTACTGCTTGAACTGGTTTCTTCGCTTTACCTAACAGAAGAAATGTGCTGATAGTAATTCTGGGGTTTTTTTTGGATCAGCACGTTGGTTTGGTGCCAGTGTGTACAGGTCACTAGGGCTTCTTATCACAATGTCTAAAATCTATCTGTGCTGCACTGCAGGGTTCTCCAGTACAAAGTATACTGCTTACTTGTCCTTTGCTCTCTTTATCTTTAGTAACTGGGCAGACATTTGATTATGCAGTTATTGTGTCACCTGGAAGAAAAAGGGGAAAACCAAATCAAGCGTATGTGCTTCATTCATGCTCGCCCTTATAAGGTTATCAATACTGCTTTGTAACAGACCAGGTGCTCCTCTGAAACCTGTTCATTCTCTCTGTGCTTGCTCAGCAGGCTATTCCACTTCTCCAGCTCACTCGATCACCTTGGCTTGCTGTCAGGAAGCTTTAATAATGATTAGACTTACTGTACGTACACAATGTGCCGCTTAAATGGACTCATAGATGTGTGTCTTTTTCTGATTAATGTTGCCACATAGTCATCAATACAATACACATCACCTTGATTTTAAATTCACTTGGTGAACAAGTTTAAATAGTTTTCTTGCTGGTAATTCTGACGAGTACTCAGAGGAATGGGCCCTGGGATGTGTGCATGTGCGCGTGCTGTTGTAAAGAGATGTCTAACTAGTTTTTCTTCCCATTTTTCTTCCCATTAAGTACTCCTCTATGACAGACAGTCCCAACTCTTAGTTTTCCCTGCACAGCCTCTTAAATTTCTGATCTCAAATATTTTTTACCCATTTCTGTCATTTGCAGCTGTCCACATGGAAAAGTCAAATTCCTTCTAGAAAAAGGTTTTTAGTCAGACGAGACAAAGATTGAGCTATTTAGTCACAGTGACAAGAGGCATGTTTGGAGGAGTAAAGATGAGGTTTTCAGACCTAAGAACGCTTCCAAGCTCCTTAGACTACGATGACCTGGGTGACTGAGAACCTTCACAGACTCATGGTGGTGGTAGCATCAAGCTCTGAGGCTATTTTGCTGTCAGTGGTACCGGTACACATCACATCTTGAATGGTCTCCCAAAAGCCCCGACATTGGGGCCAGGAAACCAACAAATTTAAATGAATCATTTCTGCTAAGAGTGGTCAAATATCCAGCTAGAAGGTTAATAATGTCTACAAAAGGTGTCTGGTTGAGATGTACTTCCAAGGGATTTATAAACAAATATTAATGGGCATGTACATTTACTTTTGATCCTGTGTGTATATGTTTGACCCTGTGTAGATTAGGAAAAAACAGAAATAATTATAAATAATTCTTGTTTTCTAAATCAATTAAAGATGTATGCTGTACAATCATTCCACCCTGGAAAAAGAACAGTTTAAAGAAATAATTAAAAGCCCAAAATTACTTTGACACTCATGCCCACAATGAGTGTATGTAAACGTTTTATCGCAACTTTAGTGTGACCAACACTAAATTGTACTTACACACAGAGTAAATTATAACAGTTTCTTCCTGAGTAGGAAAAAAATATGTAAAATCTGCACAGCGAATACTAACTAGAGTTTTAAAATGAATATAGTGGAAGCAAAACAACTGAGGTATCATGAAGCTGAAATTCTCTAGAACTTGTTTTAACAGTACTTGAGTAAAAATAGGTTTGGAAGTTACTACTTAATCTACAACAACAAAGAACTGAACCAGATCAGTTTTCAAATAATCACAGACAAAGCTTTTGTGGCTTGATCTATTGTGAGGCTCCCAACTGTGTTTATTTTTGCAAATTCAGTCACGCGGTATAAGAAAAAGTCCCAGGTAATGCACTGCGCTCTCTTTGAAAGCTGCCAGAGGGATGATGTCATCTCCCTCAGAAAGGGAGTGGAGAAGGGGGCGGAGCCTCAGGCACTGCCAAGTACACTGAGTTTCAGGTGTGCTTCAACTTTCACAACAAGTCGCCGGTAGAGCTGGAGCAGCAGGAGCTTACAGAGCGAAACTTCACTGAGTCGTTGTGGGATTTTTATACAATTAAACTTTAACGGAAGTGTGAGCAGAACAGATGAAAAAGCACAGCTCGCTTTCACTGTGTGGACAATGCACTGGGAAAAAGTCCTCCGTTTGACCAACGGAAAGGTGAGCGCCGCTTTTTTGCGCATGTTTTATTCGCTTTACTTTTTTATTATTAAAGATAGATTTTTTTTTTTCGGTGCTCTTTTTGTATTCTTGTTCAATGTTTACAAGGAAAGTGATTAATCGGGAGCTTTAGTTTCTCCCGGATGCGTTGTACTTTGCGTTGTTGACTATTGCATCTGTCATCCATTAGTCATGCCGCTCAGAATACAGGTGAGCCTCCGGTGTTTTGGTTTCTACCGGTTATGGTGTGGCAGTAGGGGGGATTTGAGTAGTAAATACTCGGATGAATAACCAGTGCGTGTAAATCCCTTGTGTGTGTGTGTGTGTGTGTGTGTGTGTGTGTGTTTGCTGTGCTTCCTGAGCCCCCATGGTGTGATGTGAGGTCCAGATGATTATTTTGTGTGAATACTAAGTGATGAGAAGAATATTTTCATCACAGTCTCTCCCAAAGGTTTGGCAATGTTCTTCCCCTGAGGTGTTTGAGGAAATGAATCACACCAGCGACCTGTGATTGAAGGTGTTAGATTCATCATCGTCTCAGATAGGGTGGTCTAGTTTTAGAAAAATTGAGGAAACACAATTTAGATGGTGTTTGGATTTTGCGCCGATGTTTCGTGGTCTGTTGATAAAATCGGGTCATTTTGAAAAACAAAGAAGACAAATCTGTGAAATTGCTTTAAACCCAAATCTAATATCCTGCTAGTCCTGTCCTGTTTTGTTTTGGGGGGTTTTGGCTTCCAGAACAACAAAATCAGAGTCTAGGTGTTTTGAGTTGAGTTTTGTGTGGATGTGCTGAAAATGACAAAAGTTTTTTTTTCCTTAACTTTCATTTCTTTGCAAGTCCATGAATAAAAAAACAGCTTACTTGGCATCTTCCTCTTTAGTTAAACTGACCGCAAGTGACCTGTTCAACGCACTCAATTAGTCTCGTTCCAGTCTGCATGCTACAAAAATGCAGAAGCTTCCTTTTTTTCAACATGTCAGCAAAATGACCAAAAACTCATATATTGCAATTCATCCTTTTTCCTCCCTGCCTCACTCCCTTTTTTGTTTTCCTCGCAAATCCTTTGATTTCTTCCCTCACCCTTCACGTACTTGAATCTCTGTCTTTTTCCCCCTCTTTCATCGCTTCAGATCGACCGGCTGGAAGTAAGTGGCCTGGGTCAGGCACCCCTGTCTGTTTCATGTGGGGCAGACAGTTCGTTCCAGGGGGGTGAGGATATCACCCCAGACCCTCACCGCACCAAGCAGGCCATCGCCCAACTGCAACAGAAAATCCTCAAGCTCACAGAGCAGATTAAGATCGAGCAGACAGCCAGAGATGACAATGTTGCAGAGTACCTCAAACTGGCCAACAACGCCGACAAACAGCAGAGCACACGCATCAAACAGGTGAAACAAGGAATTATTGTTAGATCTTTTTGTATTAAAGCCAGCATCTCATTGCCTTGTGCTTTTAGTAGGCTGGTGAGATTAGATCACAATTAGTGCATAAACACCAAACCTGTTTGATCAGTTTGTTTTACCTTGGCTTTTCCTCAGAGGCAGGGAGGGAACTTTCTAAATATATTTAAGTGGATAATTGCGGACTGATTTGCATTTCACTGACTAATAAATTCCTGTCCTGTGGCTGTCAGGTTTTTGAGAAAAAGAACCAGAAGTCGGCACAGACCATCCAGCAGCTGCAAAGGAAACTGGAGCACTACCACCGGAGGCTGCGAGAAGCGGAACACAACGGTATCCCACGCCAGCCCAAGGATGTTCTGCGGGACATGCAGCAGGGCTTGAAGGATGTCGGAGCCAAAGTCACAGGCTTCAGTGAGGGCGTGGTGGATAGTGTTAAGGGTGGCCTCTCCAGCTTCTCACAGGCTACCCACTCCGCTGCTGGTGCAGTCGTCTCCAAACCACGAGAGATCGCCTCCCTTATTCGCAACAAATTCGGGAGCGCTGATAACATCCCTTCACTTAAAGACTCTCTGGATGACCCTTCAGTAGAAGAAGGTGTGACAAGTACTGGAGTACGTTCCCTGGGAAGCACTGGGCATCACTTTCAGTCCAGTCCGAAGTATGGTAGCGAGGATGACTGCTCTAGTGCTACATCAGGCTCAGTGGGGGCTAATAGCACAACAGGGGCCCCTGGGGGTCCCCCCAGTTCCAAGGGAAACACACTGGAGAGGAGCCAGAGTTCCAGCTTTGACATGCTGCTGCAGGAGGTTCAGGAGTTGAGAGATGGCCAGGCAAGGCTAGAGGAGAGCCTGGAAGGTTTGAAGAGCCACTATCAAAGAGACTACACAGTTGTTATGCAAGCACTGCAGGAAGAACGCTTCAGGTAAAGAGAACTTCCCAGAATGTTTGTACCATACATGCCTGAGTGTGTAACAAGAGAAATCCCCGCGAATGTCAACAGTGCGTAATCAGGAATAACCTGCTATAGTTAGAAACACTTCTCCTGAACCATCTTAGTTATGCATATTGCTATTCATCATCGCAAGGTACACTTGGCCTGCTTGTGCATTAGAGAGATTTTACCAACATTGGCAGCATTAGCTCACAGTAGATAAGAAACCTTTTACCTACAGTTCATCAACATTAACATCAGAACAGCTCAAATTCTTTTATACTCATTCTCAAAGCAGCAGTTGGCATGTAAGCCGAGAACAGCACAAAAGTACATGAGCTTTAAAAAACAGGGCACAAGGACTGAGAAGAGATATAATGATCAGCTTGAATAGAAAAAGAAACGTGCATTTTTCTTCCTAAAATGTCCAAGTTCAGAGTGATCTGTTTGCCCTCTTAGATTAAAATTGCCAACAGAGACAAATGGCATCTAAGGAGCTATTTTCACCCTTCCCAGGGGAGGGACTACTCCATCCAGAAACCAGTAATGCTGCTAAAAACTCCTCAGGACCTGAATCCACCCATAACATATCTGCAGTTATTTCATAGTGGACATTTGTAAAGGAATCATTTCTAAACATTAAAAAAGACAGGTAAAACTTATAAATCATGTGTCATCGCCCTACTTAGACACTTTTTGCTGGATTTTATACCAACCTGTTAAAAGATCTTAAAAATAAGAAACAGTCAAGTTGACTCATGTCTATTCTTGTCCTTTGCTGTCCATCCAGCTTTATGTGCCTGCCAAAATAAACAACAGTATAGATTCATCGCCTCTTGTTGGGCACACATTCCATTGGCCAGTCTAATACTGCCGAGTCTCTTGTGATAGGCCAGTTGAATCAGCAGATGAGCAAGCATATCCTAATCTTGTCAGGGCGAGTCATCAGCTCAGTCAGGTGCCATGTGGCCAGATGCCCTCAGGGTCTATTTCTACTAATTCCTGCGTGCGTTTCTTTGTCTAAGCTAATTATGCCACAGACTCTCACATGTGTTCGTGTGTGCTTCTTTTACTTACGCATGCGTTCAGGTGTGAACGTCTGGAGGAGCAGCTCAACGATCTCACAGAACTTCACCAGAATGAGATCCTCAACCTTAAACAGGAGCTGGCCAGCATGGAGGAGAAGATCGCCTACCAGTCCTACGAAAGAGCCAGAGACATCCAGGTTTGTAGTTCAAGATAATGTCAGCAAGCACCAGCACCCATTTTTATCATGATAAGCAGTTTCATTTTGATTAACAGATACGCATGAGGAATGGTAGTGATTACAACAAAGTAATGATAGATAACAAAGCACTGCAAAACAACTGATAAATGCACACCAGTGACGACATCTCTCACTGTCACACAGATTTGTCTAAAGAGGCTTTTTAATTTGTCTATTAGAGAACCAAACTTTATCTGCAAAAAACAATAAAACAAGGAGGAAAAATGTGAAACAAATGCAAATGCAATGTAAATATAAAAAAAGAGACCTAAATAAATTAAGGTGGGAGAAGGTAGATTGTAAACATGAAAAATGTCACTGTTTTGACAGTCGCTATTACAGTTATTAGAGGGCAGATGTCATCGTCACTGGAAGTTTAAAAATGTTATCTTAACTGGTGACGTCATTATGAGTTCATAGAATAATGTGAGACAGGTTGTAGTGTATAGGTGTTTTTTTTTTTTTTCATAACAGTGCTTTTGTTTCACAACCATTTTTGTTACTAATGCCTCCATCATCGGCAAGTGACATGCCAGATTAATTTTATCAGAGGCCCTCGTATGATTTTAAAAATCAGCCACCACGCCTGTTTTTTGTGCAACACATTCGCCCCAGACAGGCAAAGTCTGAGTTTTATTGGAACAGCTGCAATCGGCAGCTACAGACCTGATTTCACTAAATCAGGCTGCCAATAATAAATGTTGAACAAAAAAATGTTCTGGCACACCTTTCTGATAGATTTAAACTTGCTTGTTCTATGACTGGGTCACCACACTGTGTACTGACACCAGCCCAAGTGAATTTGAAACTAAAATGCTGTCCAAAATGTAATTAGCTGAATTCACCAAAATAGCAATTCACACTGAAATTATATTATTACAGGACCTCTGTGTGTGACAGTAGATCATTTTTGGTGGATTTTTCTTTTTTTCGCTTTGAAATGACGAACATGACAAAATCATACCAGACTGAGATCACAGAAGGCCGCTGCAATTATTACATATTAATAGGGGTCCACTGTTATGTTAGTCCTGTGTGAATTGGACTTTAAGAGTGTCAGCAGCTGCAGCAGAGTAATTACATTTTAGAATACATTGAGCCTTATTATTACTGTTGCAGCACTGCATTTTATTCTGACCACTTATGGCTTGCACGCTTGACCTCCCAAAGCTAAAATGGGCCTGTGTTGAAATAATGGAAGTGGCTGGCCTCTCTACCTTCCTGTCTTAAGCACTAGTAAGCTAAAGAAAGCTGGTCAGACTAGACCTTATTGTGTCAGTTTTAAGTTAAACAGAAGTTTTGAGTCGTGCACAAACCCTCCATCAGTTAACG